AGAAAATGAGTTTTTAAAGAATATGACTCAAACATTATCCGAATACTTTCAAACCTATGAATATTATCCATAGACTTTCAAACCTATGAATTCTGTTTCTATTAGTATATCAAATTTCTTACGGTCAATTTACAAAAATACCCTTAAACTAAGGGATATTTTGAAAAATCATATAAAATGTGTTTTGTAAGTAAAAAATATAGCATAAAGTTAAGTGATACTTTTTAAGTAAAAAGTGCCATGCATGGTCTTTCTAACATTTTAATATGAATATAAATTCAAACTTTACTTAACATTAAAAAATGGCATGATATCACAATTTATTTATCTTGCATATGAATTGATGTTCATTAATGTCCTCATTTGTTATAGAGGGGAATGTCACTTTTTTGATGGAGTTCACTGTTAAAAAGTATCATGCCATTTTTTTAGTACCATTACACTAAAACTTTTTAGTATTGTTGCTTTAAGTTCTTGCAAGAAACAATACATTATTGTCATTTGTATGCAATCATATCAATAAAATAACTCGTGTATCCTTATCTTTTTACATAAGCTAAATTCGACATCAAAGTTTTCGAAGGAAAACAGATTAAATAAATTTTTTTTTTCTTTTAATTCCTGCTTTTGTGTTGCCTCTTTTGACTTATTTAAGGACTATGCTTCTTTACTCATATGGTGTTATCTTTTCGAAGTATTCACGATAAAGTTCGAAATACATCTTTCGAAATTTAAAGTTAATAAACTACAGGTAACATGTCGAAAAAGCCCACAAGAAATGAACTTAATAATCTTGGTTTAAAATTCATAAATTTATATATATGAATCAATTAGGAAAATAAGTAAATAAAAAGAAAAATTAATAATCATGATTTTGTGTTCAATAATTTAGCAAGATAATTTCGATATTTAAGCATTATTCTTAACATATTTTTCATGGTCGTGTTGCAAGCTTCTAATAGATTTTTGAATTGCTCCCAATGGATAACCGTAGCGTAAAATATAGCATCAAACGAAAAAAATTCAAACAATAGAACTTTTAAGAAGTAAAAAAATTTAGATTGGATGGAAGGTTTGTCCGCTGGTTTTTTTAGTTGAATTTGAGTATAGCGTAATTAATACGATAGCTCCTTCGCACGCTATTGGTGAAGCACATCATCCATCCCCTGAAGCTCCGAAATTAAGTTTTGTAAAATCCATCGCATTAGGGATCATAATACGGATGAATACTTTTGAGGTACTCAAAATGGAGAGGCTATGAAGCTAGTAGGGAAGTGTGTGTCTCAAGCATCTGAAAGCCGAAAGCCATCTTACTTGGGTACAAGAGGACGAGATCTAAGAATGAGTCCAAGGTACAAGGAATAGTTGCATACATTGACCAATGTTCCAAATCCTAGACCTCCGGTGGGAGAGATAGATACCACAATTGGAGACCCTTGTGTCAGTGAAGGAACAATAAATGCACAAAGAAGTCATGCTCGAGCCCCTAAAAAACATGTGTTGGAGAACTTCTAGATCAAAGATAAGCCTAAAATCGCATGTCTTCCAATTACGCTTAATGATGGGCTCGACCGTATGCTGGTGGACAAATGGTAGTTCCGTGGATTTTCTATTTGGAAATGCATTTGACTAAAGGCAGGTTTACGACCCTTGGGTGCCTATAACTGAGCCCTTGTATGGGTTTATTGGCGACAGTTTGTGTTACAACCTTTTTTTTAGGTCAAAAGTCAAATGTGGAATTGTCAAAGTCATAGTCAAATAGGACTTAAATAAAGCAAATTATTTTCTTGTGGTTTATTTCGAAATTGATTATATATGAGGGTTAA